TCAACAGTTGCCTGGATCGACTGCCCCTAACTAGTCGTCGAAATCCCTCACCAGGGCGTACCTTACTGTCCGCGTGGAAAACGTGGGAAAAGTGGGTAGAGAAAAAGGAGCGTGGATGACGCTGGAAACCCAGACTATAGCCACACTGAAGGCGATGCAGTCAAGGCTGCTAAACCTCCGACAACCGAAAATGACGCGGCTTTGCGTAGTGTTTGTCCAACCAAGATGCCATCTTGAGTAACTTCAGCTTGATGTTGGTGGGCTTTTCGAGTCTCGATCACCTCCCCCCCACGCTGGGGCGCACCGCCACAGGCATCCGCCACAGCACACACAGCCACGGCTCGCGCGGTAAGGGTAACATTCCCAGCTGAAGCTTGTTCCTAGGGTCGATCATGCCAACTGGACAATGATTGACAATCTCGATTCTAGACACATCAGGATGAGATTTGGGCAGCAATACTCGGGTTACCGCTGCCAGATGGCATGCATCGTTGCATCAGCACGCGTGAGAACTGAGGCTGCAGCAAATTAGTTGTCCACTCAGCAGCGACACGTTCACGATGGCTGCAGTAATAAAGCATGAATGTGAACCGCACCAATGACATGCAAAGCCGGGTGCTCTAAGAGGCAGCGTCTCGCTGCCCGCATAGCCGGCGCCATGGAAGCGCCTCCAGTTACATGGCGACACGCGCTTCAACTATACCAGGAGTGTACTGGTTGAGGCTTCACGACGCAGCCCACGAACCAGGGCAGGACGTCACAGAGGTTACTGGCGAAGTATGCGGGCAGTCTCGTGAATGGCTTTGCTGCAGGTCGCTTCGGCCACTCTGATCGCTCCCCGCGTCCCACCACCATGACGGCTGCGTGTCTCAGTCGGTAGAAATCGCCTCACTCCGCGCGTAGTGTTCCGACAATAACGCCGGTCAGAAGTGACTCTGAAATCCCTTATAGTTCCAGCCAGACCTGCGACGACTTTGATGATCCAGGTGGGACCTTGTGGAGTTGCGCCAGCTGCCGTTTCCGCGAGCATTGATACATGCTCACCGCCGCCTTTTAGGCCCAGGACACAAGTACCATTCTCACCGCAACCCCTACTCCCGTCACACAAAACCCCTCTTGCCGCGCGCTGTGCAGCTGCTGCAGGAACACAACGTCGCATACGTCAGAATGGCCGTCGGACTCGGAGAGACTATTACTGTGATTAACAAGAGTGGGAAGGTAGTGAGCAGTGTGAGTTGCCCGCCCGCATGCCCGCCCGCCCGATAAGCTGGCTAGCCCCCCGATAAGCCTCGTACTCGTTACTGACTACCCGCCCCCAGAGCAAGCACATTGTCAACGTCTTCAAGGAGGCCAAGGCCGCCTACCGCGAGCGCAAAGCTGAAATCAAGGCTGAGCGCGATGCCGTCGTGAAGGAGAGGGAGGTCGCCAAGAAGGCCCTCCGCGCTGCCGGCGAAGACGACGACGCCCGCTCCCAGGTCTCGCACCGCTCCAAGGCTTCCAAAGCCCACACCCACCGCAAGCATGACCGGCCGACCATGGAGCGCGGCTACAGCGACAGCTTCTATGCCAACGACAGCCCGCGGAGCAGCAAACACCGCCTCGAAAATGACCTCGGCGGACACGATGCGCACAACAAGGAGATTGCGAGGAGAAATTCCGACCAGGCCGTCCAGCGTTCGTCCCAAAGCAAGTCGCGATCCAAGTCAGTCGACATGGATCTTTGCTACGGCGACGTGCCCCCGCCACTGCCCGAAAAGAAGTACGACGACCTCGAGCTCAAAGAGAAGGCTTCCAAGATCGAGATGCTCCTAGACGAGGCCAACTGCCTCCAACATACCGCCACCGCCATGATCGAGAACCTGCAAAAGAACCCCGAGGCCCTTGCCGCCGTATCCCTCACACTCGCCGAGATCAGTGCCATCGTGGGCAAGATGGGTCCCGGTGTGCTCACGGCGCTCAAGGGCAGCTTCCCCGCCGTAGCTGCTCTACTCCTCAGCCCACAATTCATGATCGCTGGAGGTGTCGCTGTCGGTGTGACCATCGTCGCGCTCGGTGGATACAAGATCATCAAGAAGATGCAGGCACAGCCTGCGGTCGAGGAGCCAATGCCTGCCGCGCCTCAAATGCCTTTGCCTGTTCGTGCCGCCACCATGCCGCTGCCCATCGAAGATTCCAACAACGAGCTCGACGAGCTGGAGCCCCAGGAACTAAGTCGTGTGGAGAAGTGGCGTCGTGGCATCGCAGACGTCGAGGCCAACAGCTCCGGCACCAGCGTCGACGGCGAGTTCATCACACCAGAGGCATCACGCACCCTTGTCGCAGCTGGCGTTCTTGATGAAGATGACCTCAAGTCCCGTCGCAGCACCAGATCCAAGAGGACCAGCGACTCAAAACACAGGGAACACAAGTCGCATCGTGCACCAAAGTCTGACTTCAGCGTCAAGACAAGCAAGACCTCCGACAGCAAACGTCATTCTAGCAAGGAAAAGTCCAGCAAGGAAAAGGTCCCCTCCAGCAAAGTCGCTCCCAGCGTCTCAAGCAAATCCGGCAAAGAAAGCAGCAAGTCCAAGAAGAAGGAAAAAGAGCCTTCGGGCCTGAAGATGTTGTTCCGCGCTCACACCGTTGCCGTTTAGTTGCCCTTTACCGCTATATCTCCTTGTCATCATCATAGCGTTTGGCGTTTCCTTCATCATCGCACATCAGCATTTAGCGTTGCTTTATTCTCGTCACGTTTATACCATTTAGACGACATTACATGGGCATATCAAGATCCCGTCGTTGGCCGCTTGCTGCTTTGGAGTCCTTTTAGGTCGTTTGGCGCATGGCGAAAGTTATGGGTCGTGATTATCGCGCAGTACTACGAACCTTGTACGCTGTTTTATGTAACGCATACGTATCAATTACAAACTTACGGACTCACGAAAGAGAATTAATTCTTACCTTACCTTTACCACAATCACCCTTACCACGGTCGCCCTCTACACTCCCACCCCTCGTCCCATCCACGTCCCCACCCGTCGCACTATTAGTCTAGCATACCAGCATACGACTCCTCTACTGCTTTCCCCAGCCTCCCGACTAACCTGTCCCTCTCCCTGACCGTAATTCGTTCTTTCCACGTATACTTACGACGTATGGTAATAGGGGAGATATCCTGAAACAGCGGTGACTAATTGAGGAGGCTGGTCAAGGACGACGTAGCCTGCAAGAGTTAAAGAGGTGGCTGGGTACGCAATGGAGTGGCGACGCACAGAGTAGCAAGATGGAGAAGAAAAGGCGGTATGACGATGCTTATGTCTGCGAAGCTTTGATATTAAACGAGGTACGTGATGCTTACCGAAATAAGAATAGTTCCACTGACGATAGGATTCTCTTCACTGATGCGCTTGACACATGGCAAGTCTCTGCAGTCGACACGGTTATCTTGATGAACTGCGATTAGTGATCAGTTGTACTATTTGCACGATCCCAATTTAGTGCCCCGCAACCCACTCTTCTTGCGATTGCTATTCGAGGACAGTCCATACGTGCGTAAGGCTATATAGCTCACAATTGCATCACCGTCTGCACATCAGAGCTCATTGCTTTGACACTCTTCTATCTCGCCATCTCTACATTGTATATCACACACGTCTCTAAACGTACGCGCAATGGAAGCTCGATACAAGCATGGCGGTGGCTACTTCACAGCTACACGCCACTCTACGAGCTACGACTACATATCGCCTTTGAAACTGAATCTGACAGGTAAACACGTCTTGGTCACCGGCGCAGCATGGGAAGACGGTGTTGGGTATGCCACAGCTACGGCGTTTGCGCGCGCAGGAGCAGCAGTAATCGCAGTGGCTGATCTCCATGGAGTGTCGGACGAGTTGGCCTCCAGATTGAAGGAAGTCGCAAAGCAAGCTGGACACGCTGAGCCTACAGTAGTGTGTTGCACGGTCGACATCTCAAAGCTAGACAGCGTGCAGGCCATGCACGAGACTGTTTCGAAGATTTTCGATGGACGTCTAGACATCGTCGTAAACAACGCAGCCCACATGGAACCATACGTGTCATTCCTTGAGACCGATCCAGACGTATACTGGCGATCCTATGAGGTCAACATCCGCGGCCTCTTCAACATGTCCCGCGTCTTCCTCCCCTTACTACTCTCAACACAAACCAATCATAACGGCCTCTGTACAATAATCAATGTATCCTCCTCTGGCGCGCTGACTGCTCGTCCCGGAAGCGGAAGTTACCGCAGCTCCAAACTTGCCATCCTCCGCTGGACAGAAACCCTACAACTGGAATACGCTGATAAGGGTCTTCTGGCAATCTGTGTGAATCCAGGTGCGATCAAGACTAAGATCACAGAGACGGCGCCTGAGGAGGTGAGAAATCGGTTTCCGGATCGGCCCGAGGTTGCGGGCGATACAATTGTTTGGCTGGGGGCGGAGAGGAGGGAGTGGTTGGCGGGGAGGTATGTGAGTTGTACGTGGGATATGGAGGAGCTTGTGAAGAAGAAGGATGAGATTGTTGAGGAAGACAAATTGAAGATGAGGATGGCCTTTTAACTGTACTGATGCATCAGGGCTCCTGCAATAGAGAGTAGAATTAGGTATTCTGTGTCTTCTTCCATCTCTTGCGCCCACGCGATATGCAGATTTTGTATGGTATCATCGCACGTATCTGGACGTTGGTCTTAGTTTCTATGAATGTATCTGTCGGTCTTTCGACATCTATGATGGTAATGCAGAGGGCTGGATGTATCGATGGTGTGATAATGACAAAACCTCCCTGAGCCCCTTTTGGCTGAGTGTTGTATCTCAGTCTCGCCACGAACCAATAAACCTGTAAGACAACGTTGACGAGAATCCATATAAGCGTTTGTACTTGTTCTACTCGATTTTTATTCGGTCTGTCAGTACCATGGTCTTTGACGACGTGCAAGTAGAATGTTCCTGCCAAGTGGCATCGATAATTCGTGGCCCCAGGGTATAACTCAAAACGGCCTGTTACCCAGCCTTCGCTTTCTCGTCAACCACTACCGTCGCTTCGTACTCTCCAGGCTCAGTCGCTTCGCGTTCTCCTGCTGCCGTTGTCTTCCTGTCAAGCTATGCGGATCATTAGCACAAGCTCTTTCTCTCATCAGCGACAATACTCACCCATCTGACCACGAACGCGAACCCGATAAACACGAATACCACGACAATCATGGTGATACTGCCCTTCTTCCAATATGGTACATCTGTTGCCGGGTACATGACAATACCCCACCACGTGTATAAAATCTGTCCACCGAGATTCATCGTATACAGCGTCACACTCCTGACAGCATCGTCACCCGCTCTCTGGCAGATTGTAGTTGCCCATCCGTATAGAACAGGATTCACGATAAAACTCGTGCCACTGATGTAGTGCGCTGTAAAGATTCCTGCATCTGGAAGGTCTCGCACTAGCAGAAGCGACGCCGTAACGAGTTGCATCGCTCCGGCGAAAACGACCATGGGCAAACGATGGCCAGTACGGTCGATGAATGTTCCAGCAACGACCTGAGAGACGATTGCAACAGCCTGGATACCAAGAGGGTAAGTGTTGATCGCAGACTGAGAGAAGCGAGCTTTGTTGTGCTTGAGCCAGAGGAGAAACATGCCCTGGAAGGCGAAGGCTTCTGTCATGGCACAAATGACCGAGAAGGCCGTGAGGACATATCTGGAACAAAATCAATTCCGTAAATTGGCGTGACCGTAGGGCTACTTACATGGTTGGTGTCAAGAGAAGACGCTTAGCAAGGCTCTTGATCTCGATACTGTGGGTATTCGCCGTTTTCGGTGGCAGGCGAGCAATGGCGAGCTGCCTTTCTTGCTGGTTAATATAGGTAACTCTTGTCGACTCTGGAAGATCGGGGAATGTGAACTGCGATCATTGTTAAACCCGGAACTCGATGTGGTCCATCAATACAACGTACGAAGCCGAAAAGACCGACTGGTATTCCCATTAGGCCATCTTAGCAGTGTTTGTCAGTAACGCCTGCGATCATGGTACATTGACACACATACCGATAAGGAATACCCATTGCCAGCCTTTCAAGCCACCTCTACCTTCCATGGTCTTATGCATGGCTGTCATCATGATTCCTGCGAACATGCTGCCCACCTGTCCGACCGCGGTAAAGATGGCGGTTCGTTTGGCGATCTCGGAAGGTTTGCTGTGGACTATCTTGAGCCTCATTTCCAGGGAGGTGGGCTTCATTCAACTTACTACCATGAACCCAACACATATATTGTACCACTGTACAAACTGGCTTCCATCAAGCCCTGGAAGAAACGTACTGCGCAAAGCTGTTTGTATGTTTTGCACGCCGCCGAACACATAGTCAGACCGGACCAGAGGAGGAGGGTGAGAGGGAGCCAGATGCTAGGGCGGACCTTCTGGATGATAAGACCATGAGGAATTTGGCCAACAACCATGCTGGAAAGTTGTTAGTTAGGAGCAGTATGGCGGACTAGTGCATTGGTACGGACCCGGCAGTGAATATCGACAGCAGAATGCTATACTGATTGCCTTGCAGGTTGACATCTTCCCGCAAACCAGCGACGTAGGCATTGGCGAAAGCTTGACGATCTGGCTTCGCATCAGCATACGATAATCTCATTAAGAACTTGAAGTCAGATTTACCGAGGTAGTTGAAGAAGTAGCATGCACAGCAATACACCTGGTTAACATACTCAGATACTATAAATCATCGACCCTTCAAGAGGACTGACCATGATGAAGATATCTAATCACATGGAGGTCAGCATGGAGGCGTTATGGTGGGGATGACTATGCTGGTACCAAGCTTCATAACGAGTTTCCTCTCCATTGCCTTCGTCGCATCACTGGTACCACCAGTCTTCAGCCCTTCATATTGGCATTAGCAATGGGACAAATATGCGATTCATCGAATGCGGATCTCTCACATCCTAAAGCGCCCATTTTTGCTTGGGTATGTTAGTAGATCAGATAAAGGGACGATTATCAGATTGATTAGCTTGTACCAATCGCTTACTCTTATTACATCTGATACTGGGTACGACACGCGAGGGGCCCAGGCCTAGCCTCGGAGCTGGCGCATTGACTACGAAGATTCTTCGCGCTTGGTGATCAACCGAGCATCGGCCCGTTGCTAAAGCGCCATAGAGCCTTGGCCTCACCATACAAATCGAGTACTTTAGCCAGAAGTTTACATTGGCGTTTCCAATCTGCTGACTTTCTAGTCATAACCCATGTTTACCGCCTTTGCTTACTTGCGGTCTTGAGCGAAAGGGGGAATACCAAGAGGTTCGCCGGAGAGCTCTTGACCAACTTATCGGTAATCTGGTACGAAAGCAGTATGATGTACATGCTGTTGAAGTAAAACGGCCGCAGTATGCGCGACGGAGACGAGTACTGCTCTCTTAACACATTGGTGGATGTTTTCTAATACTGCTTACTCTTCAGCCGGAGAATTTGTCCTGTACAACAGCAACTCCGGTCGCGCACAACGACATTTGATCACCTTCTAGAAATCCTTTTGCCTCCAACAGGGTGTTGGGGCTGGTATAATATGGTTACGAAGAGCTTGACCGAAACTCACCCGACTTAGGAAATTATTTTTCGTCACAAGTAATTCCTTATGATCTTGCCTATATCTCTCATCTCAGGACCATGTGAGGCTCTCGGGCGAACACGTATTTGGGAGCAAAGTGATTAGGTTTCCTGGGTTACTTCACCTGCTCGATACACACATCAGAATTTAAATATCCGCAAACACGTCTTCAGCGGCTCCTCTGCTCGGAGTCAGCCGTCACCTAAGAGTGAGCATCAAAAGGCCGGCATCTACTCCAAAATCGGTCCCTCCCGTCTCTATCGCTTCCAATGCTCCACAACGCCACGTCGTACTCAACCCTGCGTCATCAATACTATCCATTACACCATGTCTCATCTCGCCATGGGTGATCGCAGACCTCCGAGCCAGATAAAGCGGAGGTTGTCAGTACGGGGAATAGTTTGAGCTATAGTCTGAGCTGTAGTGTGGGCTGTAGTATGAACGATATGAATCTTCATCAGATGCAGAACCGCCGCGGCCGTACCTATCGTCATGGTCATGGTCACGCCTTGAACCATAGTTATCATCGTAACTGTCGTCGTGCCTAGAGCTATACCTATCACCATAGTTGTCGCGCCTGGAACCGTGCCTTTCACCGTATTCACGGTCGCGCGTGGGGTTGTAACAACGCGGAGAATGTGGCCTCGACACTACAGATTCATCTCGGTTGTGCGGAGCGATCCGAGCAGGCGAGCGAGATCGATGGTCTCTTGAACGAACTTGGCCGCGCCTTTCATCATAATCGGTTTCACGCCTGTCGCGATACGGATTCGTAGAATATGGCCTAGATGCCACAAAGCTTCTCCGACCACACGGAGCGAACCGATCAGGCGAGCGAGACCGATAGCCTGGCGGCGGCGACGTCTGTCCAGATAGGCAAGCAGGTCTAAATTCGCGGTGATCTAAACCTTGAGCAGACGGCTCTTGGGAGCCTTTCTTTTGGAAGCCCATCCTCCCTTTGACGTCTATATTCTGCTGTCCACTTCCACTGTTCACATTTTGATTGTAAACTGGCGCCATGATTCGCAAATGCGTACGACCATGTGGGTCTCTCAAGGTCTGACTGTAACCATTAGGTCTGTCATCACCAGCCATCTTGTTCTTGATGCAGTTCGAAACATTAGACTTCTGCAGTCCGCCACCTCGTTTCTCATTGTGCTCAGATTCAAAAGAGATCTCATACTCAGGACGTGCGGCAGTAGGAGTATAAGACGACGGAACCTCGAAGTCGCCTATAACTTTGATGTTCTGCTGGCCGGATCCGCTGTTCACATTTTGATTGTAGATTGGCGCGCTGTTCGTAAGAAAGTTGGTGGCGAAGGGATTTTCGAGTGTCTGAGAACCACACTTTGCGTTTGTGGAATTCTGGATGTGGGCGTTACCGGCTGTCACACGTTGAGCACCGTCCTTCTGATTTACACATGCAGAGGATGCAGTTATAGGGTGAAAAGGCTGACGCTGTCTTCTTTCTGATGGATTGGATGCAGGTGATGAGCGAGGCGATAGCTTTCCGCCGCGCAGAGCCAACTCTCTGCCTTCAACTTCATCATCCCCATCAAGACACTGTAGCGGGACTTCACTTGAGGTACGCGTCGCAGTCGAAGTGCGCATCAGACTGATTACAGCTGGCGTATCTGTGTCGTGTTGGTCTAAGTTAAATGTTTAGTTTTGAGATGAGTTGATAAAGCGCGACTGGGTAGCTCGGAGGAGCAGCCAGAAGAGTCTTTATCCTCCGTAGCTAGAGCTGTGACTCTCACAGGAAGACTTTCGCTGTCTTTCATTATCTCAATCGTTTGTTCACCAAACACTGATAGTTGAACATAGGAGAGAAGGGAAGTATGAAGGTAGAGATTTGGCGGAATCGTGTCGGAGATGACCCGTGCATCTGAGGTAACGACATCCTGAACTCGCGTCACTATAGTGCGTCCACATCACTATCTACACAGTGGTGCAGGTGGAAGCCGCGTTACGAGCTTATGCGTCCGTCAAAGGCAATTCCTGTTGCGCCGGAATATCAAGGATGCGTGCCTGGGGCCAAAAACCTTGGTGTAACCTCAATCGGCTTACCAAAAGCGTACAACCACTCAACCGAAAACCCGACGTCATCCACCTTTCTCCACCTCCGCACTGCAGATCACCCCATGTTATCCCCAGACGCGACATTCCTACCCGCCACCAATAGCTCGGCAAGGCTTCCTGCGCACCATTGCATCTTGATCATTCGCCAACGTCTTGTAGCTAAGAATGGCCCCCGCAATTACTCCGTCAATTATACGGCTCACGGCCAATTCGCCGAGCAAGCATCGTGACGTTTGATCACTTCACTCTCGGATTACAAGTTCCGCTAGTGGACGTTGTAGCATATGAGTATGGGTGTACTAATGTAAAGGGTCGTCCATCGGGCGTGCTGGTCGCTTTTGCTGTTTTGTTGCGCTCGTGTCTTGCGTGTTAGGTTGGAAGTTGAGACCAGCATCATGTTCCATACACCGCATTTCAACTGGTATGGACGAGGCTTCAAGCTTCGCGCCGCCATCACCATCGCTTGCCAATTAGCGTTCGTGCTCTTTGGTTACGACCAAGGTGTCTTCAGCGGCATCGTCGGCAATGAGGACTTTTTGAATACTTTCGATCATCCCTCGCCTGGCCTCGAAGGAATCATTGTATCCATATACAACCTAGGATGCTTCACAGGATGTATTCTTAGCTTCATTTTTTGCGAGAAGACGGGACGAAGACTGGCTATGTGGATTGCCATGGTCTGGATCATTGTAAGATGTTCAAGTCGCTGGTGTCAGTATTGTGGCTGATAGTATCAGGTCGGTGGCGCTCTTCAAGCCAGCGCGTACTCAGTTCCACACATGATGGTAGCTCGGTTCCTGACTGGCATTGGAACCGGCATCGAAACTTCGACTGTGCCTATGTACCAATCCGAACTTTGCGAAGCGAACAAGCGCGGCCGCCTCGTCGCGTCAGAACCTCTCTTTGTTGGCGTAGGGATCGAAATAGCATACTGGTTCGACTACGGAATGTCATTCACGGCAGGATCTATCGCGTGGCGCCTACCTATTGCATGTCAAGTCATCTTTGCCATTATCGTCATCATCCTTGTTTTTGGTCTACCTGAATCGCCAAGATATCTCTATGCACATGGTCGACACGAAGAAGCACTTCAGATCCTCTGCGATGTTTACGATGGCACGCCCGATGATCCAAAGATTGAGAAGGAGAACAGAGAGGTGCTCGAGGCACTGCGGGTCGAGCGCGAACATGGAGAATACAGGTGGTCGCAATTACTCAAGAAAGATCACGTGCAGACCGGACGCCGTGTACTGCTCGCGTACGGCGCGCAGTTTATGAACCAGATGGGCGGTAAGAAGTTCCTCTGCACGAACTGCATGTGAGACATACACTGACTTGGTACACGTACATTCAGGTATAAACCTCGTCGTTTACTACATCACATCGGTGCTAGAGCAGAACGTTGGGCTCGACAGGAACCTATCACTGCTTCTCGGCGGCGTCATCAACCTCATGTTCTTCCTCGGTTCTCTGCTTCCAACCTTCACACTTGATCGCACCGGCCGCCGAAAGCCGATGATGTGGGGCTCTTTAGGCCTCGGCCTTTCCATGATGATGATTTCAATACTCTTGAGCTTCAAAGGAGAGGACGGAAGAGTCTTGAAAAGTACCGCCTCTGCTAGTGTCGCATTCTTTTTCACGGTAAGTGGATCCCCCGCCCGATCGGTTTCTGTGAAACGAAGCTAACAAAGACTAGTACATGCTGGCGTTTGGCATGACGATGAACTGCATTCCTTGGGTCTATGTACCCGAGATTTTACCATTACACGTGCGAGCAAAGGGAACGGCCGTCGGTATCTCCGCGAATTGGATCTGGAGTAAGTATCCCACGTAGACTGCGTACGAGACATACACTAATCTTGATATCCATGTATAGACTTCTTTGTTGTCATGATCACTCCCACTCTTCTTAATAGCTTAGCATGGAAGGGCTATCTGATCTTCATGGCACTCAACTTTGCATTCATTCCCCTTATCGTATGTCCCCTGATTTGCACCCGAACTTCACTCGCTAACGTGCTGCAGTACTTCTGCTATCCGGAAACTGCTAACTTGACGCTCGAAGAAGTTGACTGGCTCTTCTACGAAGGCGACGTGGTGAAGCGGAGTCGACGTGTTGCGAAGGAGGGCTGGGAACAAGCGATCGGTACTGATCCCGCTGCTATCATGGAGACTGGTAGTACTTCGAGTGACCACAAAGCTGAACATACGACGGAGAAGGCAGAGCATTTGTCACCCTAAGAGCTGATGAAGGCACTCTCGTCATGATTTAGATACCCTGTCTTATATTATCAAATTATAATGCTTCCGAGACCTTTAGGTCTACACGAACACCCGTGAGCTGATAACACGTTCCGTTAAGCTGACTCGACATCAACCGTATAGGTCCTCTCGGCATAAATCCTCTTATCGTTCATCGGCGCAGTACTCTTATCCGACGCGCCATCGTGTATCCTTTCCCAGGCATCCTGATCGCGCCCATGGTGCACAGTAGACAAGCTGAAGCCAATGTCCGCGTGATAGCTGTCGCCTCTCCTTTTCCGTGAGGTGCCACCTGCAGTGGTTGTTGCTATGTATCGCTTGCTGTTTGGATCTGTGCTGCCGTCGCGATCGTTGTTGAAGAAATGGCGTAGTGCCGGTAGGGAGGATGCAAAGCACCCGATTCCGGTCTCGACGTTCGAGCAAAGGACGATATGGGCAACCCAAACTGTGTGCGGGTCAGTTCGCGTTTCTTGGGCTTAGAGAGACTACATGCTTACATGGAAGATTGGTCTGAGACTCAAATTTGTTGACAAAGGGAATTCGTATCATAGTAATGATTGACGCCAGTGAGGCGAAGGACAGTAGGCCGAATGCTTGGATCTTGGCTTGTCTTTTCATCTGCGTATTCCACAAGATGATAGCTGGCACAATTACCAGGGCCATGTCGGTCAAAATTGTCGACACTGTCGCAGTGTGTGCAATGATGAGGAACGTCTCTGCAGAAGCGCACCTTCCTTCGCCGCTCATGATCAGCGTCGGAGTCCCTGTAGGTATCGATTAGTCTTGTCCGACCTGCAGTCTAAAAATCTGCGCTACTCACATAGAGCCCGCACTGGCTGGCAGTAAGCCAATGTTCCGATAAAGGTGACGAGAAAAGATGCCCATGTTACGGCCAGTAGAACCCAGACAGTGATTCTCATGGGCTTTTTGATCGAAGCAATTCGCCTAATCGTGATGCACACTGAGGATTTGACGGTTGCAAGTGCAACAACGTATACCAAGATCCAGATCAGGTAATACTTGATAGCTTCAGACTGCTGCCATGCATTCAGATCCTCGTTCATTCTGCCTAGGCCGACAAGACATCCGTAAATTGCAAGACCTGTAGTAGGAATGTATGCGATCTATGAGATCATGTCAGCATAGCCCAAGCTACAGATTCTTAGCGATAGACATACCGTGCCAACAACCATGAACGTGTCTTCCAGGCCAAATATGCGCTTCTTGATTCGAATGAAAGTACGCAACGCCACAGTAACAACAGAAAGCATGAAGAAGATGGATGAGATGGCGATGATAGCAAGTGGCAGCCCATCCGGTGTGATCAGCCTCGCGGATGGATCGACATCACTCGTAGGTGTCGCCATTGCAGGTTCGAGTCGACTGTGAATAGCAAGGATGCAGACAGGGTGCAAGACCACATCTTGAGGACAGTATTGTTACTATATACATTTACGCCGATCTTGACCGTACCCATAAACCTGGAAGTCGGAGTGTAGGGTACAAGCAGCCGTTAATCCAAATCGCCCAGGAGCCAACTAGAAAAGATTGCTGGAAAGGAGAGCTAATCTCAGGCATTTTGCACCCATACAACGGCGCCATTGCGATGGTAGCGAAAAACTAGTGGACCGATCTCCCGCGCCGGCTGATTCTGAGCCGCGACCTAGATGGTGCTAGTGTCATGCGTCATGCTCGAGACGAACCCTGACTCTCCAAATCGTATCGTGAAACCACAGAGCAGGTGTTCCGAGCGAAAGACCCAGCGTTCTCTGGTGTTCTCTGGTATTTAAACGGTGGGTCAAATCGTAGGTCTGGCACTACGAGATTGCTAATCTGTCATTCTGCATCGCCACAATGGATCTTTCCAGGAATCTAGATGCGAGAGTGCGAACCAATTCGCCTATCGGGAAGGCTGCCAGCGTTGTACTAATCTTGCATCGCGTCATGTAGCTGCGCAGTCGCCAACGGCTCCATACCTTGAACCGGCCTCTTATCATCTTCAACCTGAGGCCGTACAATATTGACTGCAAACATGATGCCCAATCAGAGAATTCAAGTTGCCATGAACCCCAAGATGTCAAATGAAAAAGAATACCGGGCATAGAGATCGAGCGTGCTCTTGAGTATATATTGCTACTGCATGAACCATCATGCACATACGACCATAGGACACTGAAAATTAGGCTTCCCGTCCGCTCAGCCATATACAAGCAGTGTACCGGCGGATTAGTAGTTAGGTGGGTGACCACTAGCGAATCCCCGCTGTTGTATGTTTTTGGCTTTCTTTTTTGCTCATGGACACCAAGGAATGCGAGCCGAGCCAGTTGGGATCGCTTTCTGGTACATCTGTGACAGCAATCCAGAGTTCGCCGAGGTGTTCAATAGTCATGCAATCACAGTGAGCAAAATTCTTTTTCAATGCTCCAGTCGTTCGTTCTTCAGCCTCCCAATTCACCACCACCGTGCCGGGTCCACCCAGACAGCCCCTGCCATGGCGGGACCACTTACAGACGCGGAGAGAGCCCGTGTTCGGGCTCACATGGATCATCTTGACAAGGATATGGCCGTCATCACAGAGTCAGAGTTCGATCCCGACAAGGTCAATGTTGCTCACGAGGCGGCTGCCAGGGCGTATCCCGTTAGTAAAGAAGTATTCCAGGCTTATAGCGCAGAGGTCCTGACAGAAATGGCTGACCCCTGAGGGTGTTGAACGACTTATGTAATATCCTCAAACCAGACGTGCCTTGGGGTCTGGCCGTGTACCGTGCCTGGTACAACGACGATGCGGCTTGGCATCGTATACTTTCTGTGCTCCACCGAGACATCGAGTCATCACTAGCAGTATGTCAGGCTCAACCAGGCCTTCTCGCAAGACATGATTTGGTCGTTATGGATGATCAGTCCAAATTCGAAGGAGCAGGTCCCGAGAAGATCCGCGAGCATTTCAATAGCTGGGCTGTAGACGAGCTACAACGTAACTGGCGTACCGACCGCGAGTCCGCGACCAAGGACGGAATGACTGGCGCAGCCGGCAGTACGGATTATCTGCACCATGCTGGATCTCGCTACAATTTCTTTCTTCTTGTTGACGACATCTGCCTCGAATCCTTTGAGATGATGGACGAGCCCGTGTTCAAGCTCGTCAAGAGAAACTGGGCGCCCGATAGCGCAGGAGACGAAGCTGAGGAAGACGAGGAAGACGAGAGGTTTGACTGGGAGGGTGGAGAAACAAACAGTGACCATGAAGACGTCGGTTGGATGTACGTTGACACCAGTGACTACGTTGATGTTCAGGATCAGTTGCAGGGGGATGATTTCTGGCCGGAGTTGTATGTGAGGCCGCCGCTCATGCGTTGGGAGGATAATTTCAATAGGGCACCTGGTTTCTGGCGACGGAACGCATCTTCCGCATAGATAGGATAAGACTACTTGCGCTACACAAAGGAAACCATAGACGTAGACACTAAGGTAAAGGTACGTGAATCTATGTCTTCTTCAAACCTACATATCGTACAGGGTGGTGATGTTTTCTGTACATCGTCTATGATACACGCTCTAATATGGAGCGATGGAGCGATGGAGCGAATGTAGAGACTACGATGATTGCTCAGCAGCCTTGGCGGCTTCGAGTCGCGAACTAATGTGAGGGGTAGCGTGCGTTCTGGGAGCCTGTGGCTTCATGATCTGGCGAAGGATAGCGCGACGTGGCGCAGTTATCCTGTTGCACAGCACAACCGCACCAGTCAACAGAGCGAGAGCGCCGGCTTGGTGTGCGGACGCCAGCCAGGTAGGGACCATGTAGATCAATGTGCTGATGCCGAGAGTAACCTGAAGGACAACGAGGTGAACCATTCCTTGGACACCCTTGTGCTGATCCTTGGAAAGCTTACTTCGCACGCCCTTTCCAAAGCGAGTGTATGCAAAGAGACTCATGATGGCAGTGAATGTAGTCGTTGCGAGGATGCGGTGGTCAAGCTGGACGAGAGAAGGGTTCTCGAGCATGTTGCGCCACCAAAGATCCGATTGATCTGGGACGTGGCTGTAAAAGGGATCGAAAAGTTCCTTCTTGGGTGGAGCGAGACCGAGACCCATCCATGGGAACTCGTTGTAGATCAGACCAGCATCGAGACCAGCAACCAGAGCACCTGACATAGCAGTAGTGAAGACAAGAGCGGTAAGACCGAAGACGGAGCGTCTGAAGATGCGGAGAGCAGGATGTTGCAGAGCCTTGATAGTCTCAGCAGCCTTGGCCGGGTCTGCTAGCATGCGATGCTCCTTGAGAATCGAAAGACCAGTGTAGACCATTGAGCAGTAGACAGTGAAGGCAGCACCCAGATGGGCAGTCAGGCGATACTGGCTGACACGGGGATGGCTTCCAGGTTCGAAGAGGTCGTCCTTGAGTCCACTTTTGACCATCCACCAACCGATGGCACCCTGGCCACCGATCATACCGCAGATTCCGATAAGCTTCCAGGCCATTGAAGGCGCTACTCTACGACGTGCGATGAAATAGGCGGTTGGTACGAGCATTGTGATGCCGATGACACGACCCCATAGACGATGAGCCCATTCCATAAAGTAAATTTGCTTGAAGTCGGCCATGTCCATGCTCGAGTTGAGCTGTTGAAACTCGGGTGACGCCTTGTATTTTGTGAACTCGCTGTCCCATTCGGCCTGGCTCATGGGCCAGAGGGAGCCGGTGACGGGACGCCATTCGGTGATGCTCAGCCTGTCCAACTTTAGCAGGTGTGACGGATGCAGTGACGTTGTGCCTACCCAGACTCTGTGAGACGAGTCAGGCCACCAAAAACGACTATGCCAAAAACGCTCGCAGCACTCCCCAGCAGCCAGTATGCAACGCTCTTGGAAGTTGTCTTGGGGAAGCTGCTCGACTGACTTTCAGTCTTGGTCGCAGCTTCCTCCAGTATCGCCCTCCCCGCATTCGATCCCTCAATGGTCGCGGTATTGCGGAGAGGCTGGGTCGATTTCCACCTCACCGATTGCAGGGCGAAGGGTCTCGATGAAGATCGTGAAGCGGAGACTGCGGATCGAATCGGCGAATTGAGGCATGGCGTAGATACGAAGAGTCGTCGTGAGAGGCGTGGAGCAGCAGTCCGCAGCTGCGGAAATGCCTTGTATATTGAAGCCATGGCAGCGGCACGTAGAGAGGGAAGAAGGAGGTTAGTCAGTCATCATGTCATTGACTTTGAGTCTTCGGTGGTTCGATGGGCCGGCGGCGCGCCAAGAAAGAACCCTGCATATCCACCGCCGTTGACAGGCGGAAGCGACGACCCACTCCGCAGGTTCGCAACTGCATCACCGGACCCCTCAGAGTGATGATCGCCATTTGGCGTTTTCCGCGCTGGCAGCGTGATGCGCCCAGCCTCCACCGCATTTTGCTAACGTTATCTTCCTATTCTCCTAGTACTTTCACCGTCTCTACTTCGCGTGCGTGACCGCCCCGTGTTATTAGACCCGGCGTGCACTGCGTTACCCCACCCGCTCTGGTCGCATACTCCGTCGCTTTCAAACACCACGACCCATGTACTTCAAGAGCAGTGTATAGCATAGCATGGACCCCGCCCATCAGCCACCCACAGGTCACGGGAGCGCCAGCCTCGATCATGACGCCCAGCCGGAACTTGGTGGATTAAATCGCAATGAAACATGGCCGCTGGTTGAAGCAGAGAGTACAGAGGGCGGCGCAGGCTCAAGTAGCACTCCATACGTCAGCCTTTTCTCACCGAATGTACCCGCGATACCACCCTCTGCACCATCCGACCTCCCTAGTAGCCCCAGGAACCACGTGAGCCACTCTAGGTCTCTTAGCTACTCGCGCTCTATGCCATCACTGGCAGGCTACTCCAGCATGACATCGCGCGCCCCTAGGAATCACGTCTCGCCTGACCGGCCACCCATAGTTCAGCTACAGACACAGATTGATCAAGCCCAAAAGAGCGCTGACGACCCAAACACACCCCTCGAAGAGCAGGGCAAAAGGCGCACTACCCTGGATCTTATGCGTGCCGAGCATTCTGTTCGCACCGACATCAGCAGGTTGTTCAGCGAGAGTGCGGCTATGCCAGGAACCAGAGCACCTTCCTACAGCAATGCGACCGGTCCGCTGTATCTCCGTGGTGAGAACCCCTACGATATCGGATTGTGCACCCGCTAACATTGTCAGCCTCAGGCGAAGCCATACCGCTCCCAGATCACCTCTACACCCGCGGATTAGTCGAAGGACGACACTCGGACATCACAATCATTGCCTTCGGTAACCGATACCCCCTGCATCGTCTCATTCTTGACCGCGCACCATTTTTCACGACCGCTCTTTCAGAACCATGGCTCGAAAGTCAGTCCAAGGAAGTCAAACTACATCCAGAGGAGATCGATTCTAGCATAACGCAGGCATCGTTTGAGCTGGCCATAAGAAAGCTCTATGGCGTGGATATATCAAAAGAGTCGGATGCCGAGGCTATCGGTCTGTTCGCAACTGGCTGTTGGCTGGAGATGCAGGACCTCATCGACTCTGCAATCGAATCCATACTGCGGCAGATGGCACCAGAGACGCTTGCATACCTCATCCGTTTAGTCACCTCCAACTACTACGGCCGATCTGGAGACCGCATACTTGAATCAGCCAAAGCAATGTTAAGCAGGAATGGCTGGGAAATGCCACTCAAATACTGGGACGACATGCCAGGCGACATCATCCGCGAGCTCGTAGGATCGGACGGCTTCTTTGTCGACAGCGAGTGGGACCGATGGGTGCTCTCCAAGCGTCTTCTTGACCGCCGCCTACGACAAGCCGCCATCGAGGCTGGTCTCATACAGCGAGGACAAAAGCCTATTCCACAGGCGCCCAACTCTCTCCGTCTCATGGCCGTTCGCTTTGACGGAGTTTATCGACAGAACGCCTTGACGACAGCGCACTCCTCTTCTGATGCGCAGGCAGACTGGCTTGCTCTTTACACCCTGCCCGACATTGAGCGCATACTCGTGTTGCTAGACGAAGGCATCCACTACATTCACATGGAATACGAGCAGCTTGAGTTCATCAGGAACGCCCGTGATGTCTTTGGCCTACCAGTGATGCCGGAAAGGGTCATCTCTAATGCACTGTGGCAGCAGCTGGCTCTCCGCCAGAGAGTGCTCAACACTGATGAATCTGCCCAGGAACTAGGTCTATGCCAATCAACGCCTGACCCCGAAGTAGCGAATGTGGCAACTAAGTCCGGAAGCGAGCCGACTAGCAAAGGAAAACAAAAAGAAGCTACAATTCCTGTTGATGAAGGCGATATCGAATCAGATAGCTGGGACGGTAATGGCAAACCACGGAAATTCTGGATCCCAAGCTCAGACTGCAACATCGTCCTCGGCAACGGGGCTGATCCTGTTGTTACGACCTCAAACTCTTTCCAACGCCATGCTTCGCGTCTATCAGCCACGATCCAACCAGAGGACGCACAATGGGCTACCGACTTCGCATCTACTCCGTCGACCTTGACCAACCCAAATACCCGCATGGACTTTGCGCAACGTCCGATATCAGCTGGCGGTGGTAACGCTGGACAGCCGAAGCCAATCGCCTACACCGAATTTCCCCCATTCCGCTTTTCGGCCGAGTTCCCCAACCCGCGCTTCCTTAAAGAGAAAAAACGGGTATATTCGAGGACAGTATCATATGCAGGCTCGTTGTGGAATATCTATATACAGAAAGTCCGCTCCGCAAAGAACATCCAGTTGGGCGTATACCTTCACCGTGCCAAAGAGCGAGAGGTAGACGAGACTGGACACATCAGTGGTCTTAGTCAGCAGAACAATGGATCCGTCGACGAGCGCATTGGTCAGCTAGAGCGCGAAATGCTCATGCGTAGTGATCGACGTGATCGCCGGCGTAGCACTCGAGTCCCGTTCATGGATCCTGGCGCAGAGGAAGACACCTCCGGTAGTGGCGGAGACGCTGACCCTTCTCTCGGCTCTCTAGGACTGCGCAACCCACTCTTCTCCAGTAACGGTCTCGGTCGCCATCGCAGTCGGCTACCAACTCGCGGCATCCCCCAATGGGGCTTCCACAATCTAGCCTCCTCCCCACCTCAAGACGGCGATGCCGTAGACTCACCCTCTTTCCCCAACCTTTCATACACGCCCTCCGACCACGAATCCGATACCCCCTCCACTGACGACGAGTCTGACGCAGCCGCATACATCAACCCCTCCCTTGCCTCCAAAGTCCAGCGCAAGACCCGCGCCATCGTCCCCGCACTCCCACCCTATGTCGACGGCCGACCAACCATAAAAACCTATTTCAAAATCTACAGCCCCTCCAAGGGCGGAAGGATGCTAAGCATCTACGAAAGCGCGCCTGACCGCTTCAACTTCAGTCAGAGCTGGGGATGGAAGAGCAGCACTTTAATGCTGGATGAGATTACGATTAGTGGTGGAGGTGATGATACCCTGGCTGGAACTAACCCGGCTGCGAGCAAGAAGACGGACGGCAAATTGAGGTTCATGGTTGTTATTGGGAATTTGTAAAAGGGCGTACATGGTGGGATGGTGTGAAATTGTGTGTTTTTTTTTTGTATGCATCAGCGATGGGTGTTGTGGTGTTGAGATAGTCTTCATCTAAGATGAGCTAGGATGCTACAAACAATCATGTACACTCTCTTCCGAATTTTCTACGCATGTACATGGAACACGCACCCAACCCTGTGACAGTGAAGTGCACATATTTTACTGATCTCTATCCGACCTGATCACAGCGCCATACACACCATTCCCGCAAACCCATGCCATGACATCGAAACAACGTATTGCTAGTCTTGCTTAAGACTTAGGGATCACCAACACAGGTTCTTTCCCCTCACCTGAAGACACGCCGCCCCATCCAGCTAAGAGGCACATGCTGCATGTCGTGTTGATATACGTGTATAGCCTTGGCCAGTTTAAAAGAGGTGACGTGAAAAGTTTGAATTTTCCCGCCCCTCTGTACGCCAGTGGCAACAACAGCATGTGGTGGAGACGTACTATAACTGATTATATAGATCCTTGCTGCGAACCAAGGTTGATTACCGACCAAACCAAAAGCTACAGCTGACACATAGCTTCCGAACCCATGATCCATGCACTACTCCTGCTCGTTATCGCTAGCCTCACTATCGCTATGGATCATGCCGTGCAGTCCTTCCCTCTCAGCCCCAATCAGTGGAGCCCGCTCACCCTCTTTTCTTGCAAAATGGCCTCCAATACTAACAGCCAGAGTACTGAAACCATGTATCATTGTACTTCCAAGCACAACAAAGCAAACAATCGGCCAGATCATGGTGACTGTTCGTTGTTTATCTGCTGGGAGATCATTTGGTGGATCAGGAAGAGGCAGCGAAGTACCGGTTTCCAGTTGTGCGCGGGCTTCAATAGCAAGGAAGAGGGCGCCGACGCCCATTGGTCCGAAATGTCCGACAAAGAGGGCTTCGGTGGTGGTTTTTACAGATGGAAGGCAATTCATCTTGAATAGAGTGAAAACGATCGGGATCCTGCGGAAAAGCAGAATGAGTGCGAGTAGAAGCAACAGTCGTGGAGGCGTGATTTCATCCATGGCGTTGAAACTTTGCCATGGGATCATCGCGCCAAAGAAGATGAAGAAAGCCGAGTTGATCAACAAGTCGATGACAACGGGTAGTTTAGTCTCCTCCGTTGGAGCATTTTGGTTGTGCGCGAAGCCACGTCCTGCAAAGAAGGCCACCAGGAAGTCATCAACGCCAAGAACGGATGCCAGTCCGATGGAGAATATGGCCAAGAGAAGGTAGAAGGCGAGGTATGAGGCTCGGCCCATCCACTCGCGACTGTGCGAGAACTTGAATATCGCGTTGAAGAGGTAGCCTAGTACGATACCCAACAGAACACCTCCGACACACTGGTACAGTACTGTGATGAGGAACCACTTCTTCATTACCCCACCAACAGTATTCTTCAGCAAAAGACTGAGTCCCAGGTATAAGAACGGGAAGGACATGCCGTCGTTGCATCCACTCTCTGCGCTTAGGTAATCCCTAATTCGCTTGGGTACTCGGGTGCTGAACTGACTGTTTGACAGGACTGAAGCTGCGAGGACGGGATCTGTTGGGGTGAGACACGCTGCTATGGTTAACCCAGTTTGGAAATCTGTCTGAAAGATGAACGTGACAAGCATGGCACATATCAGCCAGCCAAACGTCATGACAGGCCCCAGAAGAATAAGCAAGGCGCGCCATTTTCTTCGAAGGTAGCCTGCCGGGAGCTCCAGACCGACTGCAAAACATTGGATTCCGACGATGAGGCGCGTCGTCTCTTGAATCCAGTCATCCTGCGGCAGTTAGTATCGTCCGCTTGCATGACTGCGGTATACTCACAGAGAAGCCCCAATCGTAAGGTGTGAGAAGATTCAGAGCACGTGGTCCGACGATCTATTAAACATATAAGCAGAAGATTCATTTTTAGACATGTCTGCTACTCACGATACCAAAAGCTGTGGCTAAAGGTGGTTCTGAAAGATGCAGGCGGTTCCGAATCATAAGCGAGAACAACGCGTATAAGATGAGGAAGAAGGTCAGGGTCACGTATGTAACGTGAGGCCCCGTAGGCTCGAACTGAGACCAAGCCATGATGCTTCAGCTCTCTGTTAGAAGATTGCGCGTCTGTTTGTTGTTGGGTGCAGTGAAGTCTCTGCGAAGCCTGGGCTTGAGAGAAGGTGCTATGTGATCGCCGTGACGTCGAGAGAATAGGCAAAGGCCGTACGGGACCGGCACACTGTGTAAGACAGCGAGTGTTTGTGAGCGAAGATACTCAGGTGGTAGATGTCACAGCAACAGCCTTGCGGGGTGGATGCGTGAATAGAATTAATGGCGCGTTGGATCAAGTGTTCCGACGTGAAGGATCACACTGCATGGATCCGCATCGATGACGAAGGTTGGCTGGATTTGGCAGTCACGCTCGGACCGCCCTACCGGAAGAGGTGGCACCTTGCATATGAGAACCACACTATTAGGCATCTGATGTGACATGGGTAGAAGAAGATCAATAGAGACGACGAGTGTGGGTGAGTGAGTGCATATTCGTCGAGTACTATGGCCCTATCATGTATGTGCACTGGGCCCAAAAGCGACATATGCGGCTAGAGCAGCCACAATCTCCACGTGAGCACGCGAGGTAATCAATTCCGCTACTTTTGTATCAAGCGCCTCCCTCTAATATGGATATGCCCAGACGCCGCTCCCACGCGGTGATGCTACTCAATCTGACCACGACCCATCGCGGCTGGTATTAAAAATACATGCAAATTACAGTGAAACCAAGGATTGTTATTAATGGGGATTCTCGGCTATGCGTCGTCCGGCGGGTTGTTGAAGAAAGCGAATCGTATCCTGTGAAGCTAGAGGAGAGTCAGAGAGATGTAGTCTGGAGAGAAAGGGTATGCATACCGAAGGCAGTTTCGGAATGACGACTGCTAGAGTCGCGAAACAGTTGATGAGGAAATACGTCAAATCGTATTGCGTGTAATGCGTACTGACGAGAAACAGTACAATGGGTACGCTAAGAAGGAACTTCTTGGCTGGTGTGTACTGGTCTCCGTTGTCGATCTGTTCCCACATGTTGAGGTTGTCATAGGCACCCGAGTTGAAGTCAAAGGGCACACCGCGCACGTAGTGGAACATGAGGTAGGATCCCGCCACGTACGAGAGGTTTACTAGGGTCCACGATGCTTCCTGCGACATGCCGGGGATGATATCGAACAAGATCTTGCCGAAGAAGATGAGGACAAAGTGGATAGCCCAGGCGCCTGCATGTGTTAGCCGGGGACAGGTAGAGAGGGCTTGTTGGCGTGGGCTCACCCTTTGCATTTACCCATTCGGCGTTCAGGTTGGGGAGGGCTGACTGGTCGCTCAGCTGCTCGAGCGACTCGGGGGGCTCTTTGTAGACAAGACTACTGCTACGTCGCCTCCTCGCGTCTTTTGCAGCATCCAGAGACATCTTGGAGTAGGAAGACGGCGGGTCTGATTGGCGGGAGCGCGGGTCGCCAGCAAAGCTCAGGCGGGAGGTGCGATTGAGGAGTATGGGTGACAGTTTGGCGGTATTGATAGGATCGTCGGGCGGCCGGGCGGTGAGAGGGGGGCAGAGATGGGCGGTGGTCGCGTGAGAGAGCTACTGGAGAGCTGCCACGGGCAATGGCATGTCAGTGAGGGCCAAAAGGAGCAAGGCGGCGAGGTGGGCCTTCAGGGTCTTACTGTGTACGCAATATGTACCTTCCGGGGCCGTCCGAGCGTTGCAGCGTTGAGCGATTGTCGAGCAAGACAGTAAGGGTGCAGCGTTGAGTTGGTCTTGATGTAGTTTGTCGTGGTAAAGGAGCAAGGGGAATGATTTCCTCACTGGGCAGGCGTGAAGACGGAAGCGTGGCAGGTCGGTCCACATGATGCTCCAGAGACCGTGTTCCTAGCAATCACCGAGGCCGTGCCCAGAGCGCAACCAGACAACTCCAGACCACCACCAGCCAACACGAACGACACCATCCACACCTGATTCTCAAACCACCAGCACCACGCGCCATGGCTTCTGAAGCGCCGCCCCCGATGGACGCCCCAGCCCAGGCACACGATGCACCCGATGCAGGCGATGCGACCATGAAGCCCGTCAAGCGGTCGTGGAGGTAATGACGCGCCGACCCCAACACTGCAGCCCCCAGCTAATTGTGCAAAAAGACGCAAATACCGCAAGATGCGCATCAAGTTCGACGAGGCCATGACGGACAGCGACAACCTCATCAAGCAGGAATGGAAGGCCATGGGCACGGCGCGCCGTCTACAGGAGAACAACGACCAGATCCTCGACATCCTGCTCGAGCTCAATGAACAGACACGCGTCAACCCGCGCCTGCGCTACGACCTGCGCCACCTCTCCCAGGCCGACACCGCCGTGGATTCTCTCGAAGTCGGCCCTGGCCCGGAATTTGTCAAGCAGCAGCTGCAGGCGCTGAGGGATGACGTTGCCGCCAACAGAATCACCCCGGAAGAGTACGCGACCAAAGCAGACCAGTTACACACTTCGCAGGCCATACAGCAGACGCTCAAGTCGCTCGCCAGTCTCCAAAGCAAAGTCCCCCACACGACGCGCGCCGACCTGCCAGACCACCCCATTGAGGGCATCGACCTCAGCGAACATGCGCCAGGCTACATGTCCCCTGCGCACGAAGACGAGTACCTCCTCGCGACCGACCAACTCCTCGAGCAACCTGGCTTCGACCAGACCCTCCAACAAGGCCGTCCCGTCCGTCTCGCCTCCGCCCAACCCCCGCTCAGCGAAAAGGACCTTACTGTGCGCAACCCCGACAGCGTCTACAACTGGCTGCGCAAGCACCAGCCACAGGTCTTCCTGCAAGACAAGGATGCCGCGCATCACGAGAATCTCTCGGAGAAGTCTGCCGCGCCAAAGACCACCAAGGCCAACGCAGCCAAAGTCAAACGGGAGTCCAACATCGGAGGAGGCACACCCGGTCCCCGCGACCACGACGACGAAGATTCCGCCGCCCCCGAGACCGGCAAAGGACGACGGAAGACGGGTGGTGGCGGCGACGACGACACGGCCTACCGACCCAAGGGCGGCAGTTCTCGACCCGCAAAGCGCAAGCGGGAAGAGGGTGATACGCCCGTGGGTAAGGGAAGCAGGAAGAAGAATCGCGCCAGTACCGGACAACCTGCTTGACCTACCTCCTAATAGACCGCGCAGTAGATCAACCTTGTCACCTCCACAACGCCGCCCTAAATGCAAGATGCTCCTGTTGCATAAGCTATGAAAACAGGATCGCCTCGTCTGCAATATACATTTGCTGCATAGAAGATTATACGACAGGGGTGCTCTGCAGTATTATGATTCCTCATGGCGACGCTCGGACGTTGCCTTGCACTCGGTACAAAGACCACGACTATAAATGTGTTCTCTCCCCGTCGCGCATCAAGGCAATGGGAAAGCCTGTCTTCTGTACAAAATTCACTTAACTTCGAGATGGAGTGGGAGCTGGCGTTTTTTTTTTCTTCCTTTCTTGTGGGAACCATTGGCGTAAGAGAGCGGGTTTAGATATACCCTTGGGAAAACAAGTTACTTCCAGGAGATTGAATGCACAAGGAGTTTGGGGACCAAACTGGATATTCTGTATTCTACAACCAGCATACGGAGATATGGCTGGTTCCAGCTTTGTACTTGTACAACCAACATTTCATATTCATACAGAACGTTTGATCAATGCAACTACCGCAATGGCTTTCCCCTCGCACCCCCAACCATGACCGTCTCAGGGGCCGGCTGGCTCTCACTCATAAACGGCAAACTCGTCTCAAGCACCTTCTTTCCATCCACTAGCAAACCGTTGCCCGCGCGCTGATCCTCAAGGTAGGCGGTCTTCTGCCTCTTCTCCTCGAGATACTGTTTCCTTTCTTTCGTCAGCACCCATTCCTTGGGGAACTCGGCCCTCTTCTTAGGTGTGTGGTGGCGGAAGTCAAATGGCACGTCTTCAAAGCTATCTTTCCCTTCTTTGCACTCCTTGATGAGACTCGAGATGGTGTCGCCTAGGAACCTCTTGTTCTGGGACTGGGTATCGAACTTCTCGCACGAGAGCTTGATGATGGAGGTTGAGGGGTTGTACCGAGGTCCGGCTAGCTTGATCAGCTTGGAGACTTGGGTGGGGGTCAAGGAGTGTGTGTTTGAGAGGTCGTCGGGCGAGAATTCGACGACGACTTTGTTGGATGCGGGGTGCGATTCGCCAAGGTAAGATGTGTAGCGGAAACGGAAGGGCGTGGCTGCTGTTGGAGGTTCGAATGGACGGGCGAGGTCTAAGATAAGTTAGTATACGAATGCCACCTCATGTCTGTTCGGTGTAACGAGCACTTACGACTCAATAGTGGCAACTCCCACGCAATCAACCTGGCATACTCCCTCAACTCTCTATGTTGCTGCAACTCTCCGTGACCGTGACTCGTCAAGTCATCTCCATAGTAATCCTCATCAGGCCCCATACTCTCTTCTCCCTCGGCCCAGAATCCCGCGAGCGTCTTCCTCTTGTCGTCTTCCTCAATCTCGAAATCTTCGTCCGCTTCTAGACCAAAGTCACGGGTTTGAGGTAGTCCGCGTTTTCCCTTGCGGAGCGCATCGGCGACAACGTTGGGGTCGATTTCGGCGAGCGATGTGCGAAGGTTTTCCAGCATGGCGGTTTCTCGCTCAGGTGTACTCATCTCCCGGAATGCTTTCGACTTTGTGGTGTTGGAGAAGGCTGATTTGGGCAACTCTGGGGCCAATTCGTCCAAGGTCTCGGTTGGTGGTTTCGCATCTGCAGCGGTTGCAGAGCCCTCTTTCGTAGGCTCATTTGCGTACGAGACAGGCGTTGTGGAGAGCGGCCGTTGCCATTGTGCGGATGTGTGCTTTGGTGCTGCTCGAGTTCGTATCCGTGAAGGGCATGCCCGTGACTGCAGAAGCAGTCTTCGCTGTATTGACGCCATTGAGTGTGGTTGTCGAGTGGCTGCTGTCGTCGACTTTTCGCGACGCAGCGACGCTTGGCGATGGAGGAGCAAAGTGCGACCGTGCGCCGGGCCAATAAGACCTCTCCGACCTCCGCTCTTACCCTGGGCGACTATCATGCCTTCCATCTGAACTACTTCCTTCGTCTCGAATTTTGGAACTATGGCTCGAGCATGATTCTGCAATAGTCTAAATCACATTCACTGATAACCAAGATCTCCATAAATCATTGTCGCATCCATAACACTCACCATGGCCGATACCTGGAAATGGACACCCAATTCGAAACTCTGCTTCGTTACCACTGGCGCTACTGCGCCATTTACTGAACTCATTAAATCAGTTTTGTATCCTGCATGTATAGATGCTTTACGAGAATCTGGCTTTACACATCTCTTGGTTCAGTACGGGTCCGCCAAGGACGTCTACCAGGACTCCTCCATGCTTGCTCAAGCATATATGCGAGATAGCAAATTTACCCAAGATCTCATCATAGACGGCATCGACTTCAATCCAGATGGCCTGCAATCCCAGTTCCAATTAGTTCAGCGGTCAAAAGGACTGGTCATCTCGCATGCTGGTACTATTAACCATATACCACGTATCTAGTCACCAACTAACAAAATCTAGGCTCGGGCTCCATTCTCGAAGCACTCCGTTACCAGATCCCACTCATTGTCGTGCCCAACACCGGACTTCTCGACAATCATCAAGAAGAGCTCGCGGTTGCAATGGAACGTAACAATTACCTTGTCCGCGGCGACGTCACGTATGTGCATTCTCTTATATTGGTAGTGTTGTCAGCTAACCAGTCTAGAAACCTTGCGCCTGCCATAAAGAAGTCTGACGATTTTCGATTGAAGATGTCGCAGTTCCCACCTGTGACAAGTGGGAAACATCGCGAGACCAAGAGCTTCGCGGCTATTATGGATGAGACAACAGGTTACATGGACTAAACTGCCCAGTGTTCACGCGCGTTGCAACTGGAAAGCGCGCCACACGGTACTTGCGCTTGACCATGATGTTTTATAGCCTTCGGGCGTCGGTCGCTCTGGTCACTTGTTGAGGCAATCGCTTCCCTTTGCTGTCCTTTTGAGCAACGTTGCAACTTCCGAATGCTTCACGGTTTATGTATGCCCCATATTTGTATTCAAGGTCACAGAGTTACACCCGGATTAGCTCTCTAACTTTTCATTTCGACTTCACTTTGGTAACTGTTTGTTTTCACACCACCAACTGGCTTTCTTGCTCTGAACCATTTGGGCCCGTCGCATCCCAGTGTCCTGGCATATAGACGGGTAGATTCTACAACCACATTACCACCGATATGCGTACGCAGATTTCCATCACGGCAGCGCTGGCTGCTGCAGCTTCCCTCGCAGTTTCTGTGCCAAGGTACACATTCTTTCATACGTACAGCGCTCTTCACGATCGGCATGTCGTCTTCGATTGGGACACGGGCAAAGTTCGAGGTGTTAATATTGGTGGTTGGCTAGTCCTTGAGCCATTCATCACACCATCGATCTCCGAACAACACAGCTCAGCCGATTGGCCAGTCCACGATGAATGGACACTTTGCGAGAAGTTGGGCCAGAGTAGTTGTGCTGATGTGTTGAAGCCGCATTGGGACAACTTCGTCTCGTGGGATGACTTCCGGAAGATCAAGGATGCTGGCTTCAACATTGTTCGCATACCAGTCGGTTATTGGAGGTAGAGTTTTGCCAAAGCTCTACACATAAGTCATACTGATGATTCCCTAGCTACGTAGAGCCCTGGGGCCCCTATACCGGAGGTGCAGCTCAGTATCTCGACGCTGCAATCGACTGGGCGCGAGCGACTGGTCTGAAGATCATCATTGATCTCCATGGTGCACCCAAGTCCCAGAACGGCTTCGATCACAGTGGCCATGCAGCATATTGGCCAGCCTGGGGCGACTCCGACAGTCTGAGCCATACACATGCTGCACTAAAGCAGATTGAACAGAAATACGCTACACCTGAGATGCAAGACGTTGTGGTCGCGATCCAGTTCCTTAACGAGCCGTTCCTGCTCAAGCTCGATCAGAATGTGGTCAAACAATTCTACCACGATGCATACTACAACTTACGGGATATCAGCGATACACCTGCTATACTACATGATGGCTTTGAGAACCCGTCTTGGCTAAACAGTTTTCTGACGAAGCAAGACAACGATGCGCGCAACGTTATTGTAGATCACCACGAGTATCAGATCTTCGACTCCGGGCTGAATGCCATGTCTGTCGACCAACACGTGGCTCTTGCCTGTAACTCTGTACGTCGCAATCTTACCGCTACCGCCCCACCATGAAGTGCTTGCTAACCCACCCTTTAGGTCAGCAACTACGACAGCTCAGACAAATGGACAATCGTGGGTGAATGGTCCGGCGCCTTCACCGATTGCGCTCCTCACCTCAACGGCTTCAATTACGGCTCCCGCATGGAGGGTAGCTTCCCTGGGTCATACTGGATCGGCTCCTGTGCCGGCAAATCCGGCCCTGTGTCTACATGGTCTCAGGACTGGAAGGATAATGTGCGTCGCTATATTGAGGTTCGACTCGATGCGTATGAAGCCAGGACAAGGGGTTGGATCTTCTGGAATTTCAAGACTGAGGGTGGTGCAGGAGAGTGGGATTTGTTTCAGCTATTGGACGGCGGTGTCTTTCCGCAGCCGTTGTGGGATAGACGGTTTGGAAAGGCTTGTGATAATCTTTGAGGCAGGGGCGTGATGGGTGTGGTGGAGTGGGATGAGAGACGGGCGTGTGATGTCACGGATGATCAGCAAGGTGGTATAAGGTGGTACTCGTGTATGTGTATGCTGTATCTTATTGGATATATACTGACATTGTGTGCCAATAAGAAGGATCACCTGAACGTCGATTCCCGTTTTTCCAAGTCACGTTGTTGAGTTTGTGCGTTGTTCATACTCCGACGGACTCTACCCTACCGCCTGATCCGGCGGTGTAGAGTATCATTGGATCTATATACGCATCACAGGTAACAATCAAATCACCAGGGCGTATAGCTCAGTGGTAGAGCGCCTGCTTTGCATCTTAATTGGGCAAAATTGCAGGAGGTCTGGATTTCGATCATCCATCCGTCCACAGCTGAGTAACGGGTCTTCGGGCTCGCCTATCTTTTTTTGTTAATTCATGCCCCACAGACAGTTCATCTTAGAAGCCTTGCTTGCGTATGCTTTGAACGCATCATAGGTAGAGAACGTACAAATGTGGTACTCTCCAAGAGCACACCACTAGCTTTGGCAGCACCTGCCATACGTGAGATTTGGTCGTTGTAGCATGTAGTTTCCTCTCACCCTTCACGGCGGGTATCTTATCTCTTCATCTTGTTCCTTTGCTCGATACACTCTCACCCAACAAAAACAGAGCTTCTTCTTCACCCGTTTATGATTCTCGGACTGTATCCTATCTACACAAAAACCTTTTTGTCCCTACTATCTGTCCGCATCCGTCTGTCATATACACGTACCACTAGTATTTGAAGTACTGGGATTCAGTCGAGAGCAATAACTGTCTTTTTGTTGGTGGATCGATACACGTAACCAGGAACAGCAACTGATAGAATCCATCGCGCGATACTCTTGCAGTCTTGCCGTGATACAATGACGATTGCTTGGTAGTCGACATCTAAGCACTCAGATGAAGTACTTGTTACGTGAGGCATTGCGGTGCAGGATACTAGTATAAGAGGAGATGCGTATCTACTTTGGTCAGGAATTGGAAAAGTACGTATCCCGATTCGCAGGAGTACTGGGCAGTACACTGCGTCCGCGCGGAAAGCGTGTTCCTAGCAGAAGAAGGATGTCTCGGCCGTATCGCGGAGGCACAACCTTGCCTGGGGCGATGCGTGCAGAGGTGCGCGAACTTTGCAAGAAAGAAAAATCGTTCTGCAAGGAGAAATTTTGCTTAGAAAGCCTGAGAGGTTCAGAAGTCCAGAACCGCATATCGTCATCTGCTGTTCTCCGCACATCCGTCATTTGCTGCTGTTACGCGTGCGCAACGGAATACGACGTGGGTCTCCCCGCTCGCTACGGCCAACAACTCCTGTCTCCTGTCTGTGTCACGCGCTCAGATCCTACTGTGTACAAAGTCTTATCGGAGCGAAGGTTAAGGGACAACGCTCATATTCATGGGAAGTTCCAATTCCAACAGATTAAAGTGTGTATTCATACAGCCGTCATCGAATGAGGATCGCTCCCACTGCCGCCCTGACTGTCGAGGAGTGCCGAGCCAATTGCCTTGGATTCCAAACGTCCGGTAGTGGTTTTCCTGGTCTTTTAGCGCAGATTGCCGGTGCCGCGCGCGCTCGCTAGTTGTTAGTGTTGGGAACTGCAGCAACGGTTTCGCGCCAAGTACCACGTACCAATCTTGGGCTGTCACTGAGCATTGGGCGGCCCTCAGTGCTTCATTTTCGTCTAGAAGAAAACAAACCTGCATGTCCCTGCTCTTCAACCGCACAGGCTCCGATCGTGACTTCATCTTTCATTTTCAAAGTGGTGGTCAGTGAGTGTTGAGGTGTGTTCGCCCACAAACACATCCGACCCTTCGGGCACGAACATCCCCAGGTAAGATCTAGCTCCTTTTGGAAAGCTATCTTGGGCACTGGTCGGCTAGTGCTGCTGACATGTACCGAGCCACGGTCAAAAATTTCGAATTACGTTCATCGAAGTTCCTCAGCTTTTCGCGCTGAAGTTCAACAGACAGTTGGATGACAGATCGCGATCATTGCGTTGCTTCTCCCGAGCGATTGACCTACCCTGTGTTGCCTAGTGAACTACGAAAAGAAGACCAAAACTATGTCTTGTGAGATGGTTGAGTATGACAAAGGCTCCTTTCACAAGACGTTTAGTCTACTTCCACGACCCGCATCGTTCATGCAGTGTCAAGACACTTCGTGGGGAGCTGCGTAATGCAGACGAAACGTGGAAGCACAGACGAAATGTGATGGGGAAAGTTAAGAATGCCGTCCAAGACCAACTGTCAAAAAGCTTTTGATGGATTTTAGAGTTCCGGACCGGTTTGCGACGCCCTGTTTTGGTAAGCTTCAATAGCCCCAAGGCGCCTCATTACCGACGGCTTTCACGCGAGCACTTCTGGAAATTGAGCACATTTGATCGATCGTGGTGGGTGTGCGGTCTGGACCTCGTCGCTAATGACCTGCTCCACCTTATTCTCCGAGCATCCCAGCGATCGTGTTTCGCATCACATGGGACGCCTCGATGCGACGATGAGCTTTGTCGTCAAGTGACAGGTATCGCGAGCTGTCTCTATGGAAACGTTGGAGCTTGAATAGAACTTACTGACATGTACATTATGCAGCCCAACAGGATCTGAATGGTGGACGTGGTTGCGTCTAATGTGTGCGCATGTAGCTAATGTAGGCGAAAAATGCACCCTGGTCCTCAACTTCCACTGATGCCCCGATGACCTCAGCGGAAGAACGTCCGAACGACAGCGTCGCCCCGCTTCATGGAGCCCGACCTAGCCATAGCCCAATCAGCGCATTCACCGGCGGTCGCTGGACTATTGACCGAACGGCTCTGCATGGATCAACCGTTTTTCTGGCGTAATTCGAAGATCGCCCCGCCTTGCTTTGCGACTGTTAGCGGGGCCGGGGCGGACGCGCAGCTGTGTTTCCCAGTTTCAGTTGTATTTGTACCCGTCCCACCCGTCACAACATAACAACAACAAAAAGCAACCCAACATGCTCCTATCAACATAAACACCCACGAGACCCGCACCCTGAACGTTTGAACCATTCCAGGACCACTCCATTAGGACTCAACCCCAAGTCAATCAGGATGACAACCACCATCGGCATGTCATACGAGGACCTTCGGCCGCAGGCTGTGCGACCGAAGAAGTCCTTCTTCCAGAGGCTGAACGACACTCACGATCAGCTCATCTCGCATATGCGATCGTTAAAGGAGGACCCAGTACTTTCAGTCAAGCAAGGGGAGCGCACGAGAGCATCATCGACGACTTCGCTCACATCAACACCCGAGTCAGACCGTGAAAACTCCCAGGACGCCGCTCGCACTACTGAGATCGACAACGAAGACCGGATCTCAAGTGGCTTCTTGTCCCCACCACTCTCACCAGTCGAGGGCAGCTTCTTCCCTATCCAGCAGTTCCTTCTGCCCAGGGACCGAAAGCCCAGCAAGGAGTTCATTCAAGGCATGCAAGGCTACGTACACTGGAAACAGGCTACTTACGAGTCGACCCTCAGCCTTCCCCTTTCTCCACCGGGAACGCCGCAAACCTCGTACTCGTGGAGCTCCTCCAGGAGCACAAAGAGCGAGATGTCTGACGAGCAAATGGACGACTGGCTCGACCGCCCCATGGATGCGGAAGTGCATCGCTACCGCAAGGTTTCAGCCTCGTGGCTGGAGGGCTCGAATGAGTCGAAAGAGGATGAGAAGATGATCCACGTGATCCAAGAGCATCCCGATGAGGACGACAGCGCAGCACGCGAAGAGCGCCAGCACATTTCCGCTATGTGGCGAGAGACCTGGTGTATGCAAGATCCGAGAGAGGGCAGCTTCATTGAAGATTCACACAGCGAGGTTGCCCCAGAAGCGACAGAGGATGTTTCAGCAAAACAGAACGAGGAGAGTAACATTCAGTCAAAGTTTCTTTCGCTACCAGACGAAATTCTGCGTAGCGTCGCCCTTCACGTACCTCAAGAGCACACTCAGCCATTCCGTCTCAGCTGCATGAAGCTCAACCAGCTTGTAACAGCATCATAGAACGTCACCTGAACCAGAACAAAACATTTCATTTGTCTTTACATTACACTACACATTGCGTCCGACATTTGTCGAGATAGCCCCAAACGATACCCATAGATAGGCCAGAGAGAGAGAGCTCACGCTCGCGGACGATGGACTCGAATCAGCAGATTTTTGTTGACAGAACAATAATTAGAAGATGTCTTCATCGATGAAAGGAAGCCCATAAGGCGCACAGGGGAAGCGAGTCCTAGAAAATAGACTGCCAGTATGCCGCGTGCTACTATGCTCCAATAGTTGAGAGCACTAAATAATAAAACCATAAAACATTATTCTCAAACACTGCATCCACTCTAGACCATTTCCTTTGCTTCTGGTCTCCAAAACGTCCTCCCTTCCGGATATAGTTCCTGTGAGTGCACCGATTCGCTCACATCTACCTTCGTCGTGACTGTAATATCACCCAATCCACCAGATGCTTGCGCTCTATTATTGTTCAGCCTCGTAATGCTTTCGGTACTGCCTCTTTCTGCGACTGGAGAGCTGCTTCCAGATGAACTTCCGCTCGTCTCTCGAGCTTGCTTGGTTTTGGCGTCGATCGTCGTCAACATGTACGCTTTGCCAGCCGCGCCATAGCTTGCATATTCGCCGTCTGATGCCTTATTAGACGATAACTGACCATATTCTCTGGCTGCGGAGCGCTGCTTTGAGCCTGGTGCGTATGCGCTTGAGTGGTGGCGAAGCTGCGAGGTCTTGCGAGAACCACTGCCGTATGTGGAAACGAGTATAGAGCGGAAAAGCGGTTTGAGGCAGGGCAGATTGCCAGCGATGATGCCAACGTTGCATTCAATGATAGTCCAGATGGTCATGTTGCGCGAGTCCCACAAAAGGTCGCCCTCGCGCCCGTAGGCGGGTAGGTAGGAGAGTTTGACGAAGGCAGCGGCCGTGGCGAACGTTCCGAGACCAAGGATACATACGAGAGAAGCTTTGTGACGGCGATTCATCTGCACGCCCCATAACATGGGAATCTAAATGGGTTCATTAGCAGAGCATGTAACCGCTTGGAGTAAGGTGAGACCCACAGGTATGCCGACTGAAAAGGCAATGTCGGTAAGGATGTTCAGCACGATGTTGAGAAAGCCCAAGGCTTGCCTTGTTTTGATGGTCCAGCATGTACCCTTGACGCGTTGGTCCCACATCAGACGGATATCCGTGCATTGCAGTAGAACTGTAAGGACACAGCCAACCGTATAGATGCCCATAAACGCTACAAATAGTCAGCATCTCCGTAGTTGCAGTCTGAGAAATGGCGCTTTTACCCATGATGCCGCTGATTAGGCGTTTGTAGAATTTCCCGACCGCGATTCTTAAGAGGAAGAAACCCACCGAAATCTTTACAAAACAGATTGCGAAGAGGAATATGGGCTGAGAAATGAGGTTTAGCCTGAGGCCCGCTATGAAGTCCTCAGGCTTGATGTAATCGACATGCTTTCCTGCTCCATAGTGGACTTGGGGGATGACGAGGCATTGACCAGCAACGCACTACAAAGCTGTCAGCAACATACCAGAAGTTAATACTCTACTGTTTCATACCAACATCATAGCCAACAGCATCACATAGTCCTGGTGGCAGATAGATGTCAGTGGAGGTCACCCATGTTCACTGTCGAGCACTCACGTCCCAACCAACATTTCTGATCATCCTAATCCTGACGTAAAACCTCGCAATCGTAGTAAGCACGGCCACGATGGTGATGGTTAGCGTAGTTCCGAGGATGGTCGGGCCCGCATTCTCGTAGGGACGCATCGGCGGCATCGCTGCGCCGCTCTGCTGCATGGTGGAGCGTACGTCGATTGGGAGTAAAGGATTTCAGAACACGCGATTTTCTCAGAGAACCAGCAAGATGCTTGTAATATAACACCAGAGATCGGGAAATGGAGACAGACGTCAGGGGTTTCACATGGCTTTCGTGTTCTGAGACCAGCAGCTCCTGTCTGCGGTTCCTTAACGCGCCACGCGGAAGAGCTGAGAGAATACAGTTAACGGCAAACCTTGTTTTCAATCACCCATCACTCAAAGAGTAGATGGAGGATGAGCTTGTCGAGGCTGGTTCCGGACAGGAACAACATAGCCTGGCGAGAAAGCACTTGGACTAGTCTCGCTAAGGAGAAAGGTGGCTGTGAATGACTGATTCGAGACGGAAGCATACCTCGGCAGGACAAACTGAGGGCGCGGGAGATGGTATGTTGTGACAGACATATATCCCTGCAGACGATAGAGTCTCATGTGCAGGGTCTCGAGCAAGGTGCTGGGTACGGTAACCTCCGTGTGATATGGGAATCCGTGTGCTTGGTAGCACTTGCTGTAGCTCGTGCAGCAAATGTAGTGATATTATTTCGCAGTACTCTACCAACTAAGAAACCTTCCAGTTGTTCTGCGCTCGGTCATTCGGCTGACACGCTGACACCATCGATGAGTTGACTCGAGTCCATAGCTGAGTCGCTAGCCACGTGGGTATCGACGTTACCAATATGTAATAGTAGTGTATGAGATCTAAGCTGCCGCATGAACCGTAACCTCAATATCGTTAAAGCAGGTGATCGAGACTAGTAGTCCGCATGTCATGCCGTTTACTGCACGTCTTTGAAACTAAAACACTGAAGGATGCTAGTCGTGCAGCACGGGTTCTTGGAAGGCGAGCTTGTCAATCCGAACAAGTGCCGACAGGAGCAGAAGGGGGTCTGCGGCTCGTCTAAGTAGATAGACGTGACATGCTGATGGATATGAGACTCAATTCGACTTCTACAGTCGTGTAGATATGGGTAGAATCTATCATAAACCTGTTGCTAAGGACTCACTTTACTCATAAGTTTCAGAATACTCACTAGAATATTGCTGATATGCTTCCCCCCACATACCGAGGAAGTTGCGAAAACCGCTGGAGAATCGGTTAATCTGCTATACGCTTGTCGCTTCCCAGCGCCTCATCCGGAAGGTCGCAATACCCGGTAGGCCTCTCGGTGCTCAGAAGATGGTGTCTAAGCCAATGGTAACCCTAGAATGGGTTTTTCGGTGCGGCTGGACATAATTGTCGCGATCGAGATTACCCGGTAGTTTGGAGGCCTTGTCCTCGGCGCGGTTCATGTAGTTGAGGAGGCGGGACGGGGACGCGGCAAGACGGATCTTAGCCTTAGCGGAGCTTAGCGCTTCGGCATGATTTGCGCCACCAATGTCCAGCCGCATTAGACGCTTCCCATTCTTCACTCAGCTCGCACGACATCCGAGAAGCCAATCCCAATGCAGGTCTCTGAATCATGGAAGGATGAGTATGCTTTCAAGGAGGTTTTCTAGACCTGAACTGCCGCCTGTAAGAAAAAATGTTCCTTTCTTCCTGCACGTTGGTGGGCCGCGGCTCAATATGCAGGGCTGTGGTGTGATTGCCTGCAGACGTGGAACAGATTGGTATCAAGGCATCCCGACATAATTTCACACATTCAAAAAGGCGGTTGGGGTACAATGTCAGAGTTATATGTTGCATAGGACCTCAGGGACCACCTAGCTAATATCATTACTCGCATACCGCATGGATCAGATCGCCTTTCGCTCATCATGTTCCCGCGCACGGAAACATACTGGGGCTCTTTAGCCAAACGATATTGGGCCAGCGGGGTTGCCCAAATATCCGACAAAGCTCCACTTGACATTGTAGTGCGATGTGAGTTGTCCGGCAAACTACACCCGGGTCTTCCATGGACATGTCGCCGAACGATAGCTCTGTATAGGGCACGCTTGCGGCAAAGGCGCGCTTGATAGATAGTCCGCCAATCTAGCCTTGAGGTCCTTGCGTTCAGGGCATAACGTCTGCTCGGAGATGCGTATACACATGCGCCAGGCACCGAAAGATTATCGCCCCACCCGTGGCATTACCTTGCCTCGATGCTTGGACGTCAGCTTGAGAGACAGTAAGGCTAGCTGCGGTGCACTACACAGTTCTAGCAAAGACCAAGTGGCTCTGGGAGGTTCTCGCCCCCAGATCCCGGCACCGAGGCGTGGCAGGCCTATTTTTGAAGCGGTGTAAGACTATTCTCTGATATATATGTGTAAGAAAACGCCTTTTTCTTTTTGCACCACAGCACAAGGCCTCATCTTCCGATCAAGCAATCACGCCCATATCTTCCATTCACTTGGTCAGAATACAATATGCGTTTCAACTCCCCTCTGGCGCTGGCTGTTCTTGCTGGAACGCTGTCGAATGCACTACCAGCTCCTCAAAATGCGCCTGTAGACCCGTCTTCGCTACCCACCTCGGCATCGAGCGACCCTACGATTGCTAGCGAGCAACTTGATCAACTGTTTGCGTTCGCTCAACAACAAGCCAACGAAGACCTAGCAGCAAGTTCGTCGAAGAGAGCCGCCTGCAACAAGAACACTGTCGCGGTGCGCAAAGAATGGAACGCCCTATCGAACACAGAACGCAAAGCCTATACCGATGCAGTGCTTTGTCTTCAGGCGAAGAAAGCAAACACGCCTGCCTCACTCATCCCTGGAGCAAAGTCACGATTCGATGACTTCGTCGGTAACCACATCCTAAAGACCATGGAGATCCACTACACCGGCACTTTCCTCGCATGGCATCGGTACTTTACCTGGCAGTACGAGCAAGCCCTTCGTAACGAATGTGGATACAAGGGTTACCAACCCTACTGGAACTGGGCAAAGACCGCTGTCAGCGGTCTTGACAAAGCGCCAATGCTCGATGGATCTGCGTACTCCATGTCAGGCAACGGAGAGAAGATCGCTGGCCAGGGCAATGTTGTCATTGCTGGCAGAGGCGAACCAATTATCACTATCCCACCCGGTACCGGAGGTGGCTGTGTAAAGAGCGGTCCGTTCAAGAACATGAGTGAGTATTCCCATTACTACAGCGCACTCTCATCGACATAAACTAACTGAGACATCTAGAGGTTAACCTTGGCCCTGTTGCTTTGAGCACAACCAACGGTACCGAAATCGCCAACGGAAATGGCCTTTCATACAACCCGAGATGTCTGACGCGGGACTTGACCGACTACAGCAACAAGAAGTGGGCTAATGCGGCTGCCATTGCCGACTTGATCATCAACAAGAAGGACATCTGGCAGTTCGAGATGGTAATGCAGGGTGTACCAGGAACAGACAGTCTGGGCGTACACGGCGGTGGTCACTACTCCATGGGCGGCGACCCCGGCCGCGACTTCTTCGTATCGCCTGGTGATCCATTGTTCTACCTTCACCATGGTATGATCGACAAGGTGTGGTGGACTTGGCAGCAGCTTGACACCAAGACCCGTGTGCAGAGCGAGAAGGGAGGTGTTTCCGGTACCGGCACGTTTTTGAACAACCCACCTTCGGCTAACACGACCTTCGATACTGTTATTGATCTTGGCTACGCTGCGAGTGGATCACAAAGGATGGAGGATTTGATGAGCACAACCGAGGGACCGTTCTGCTACATCTACGTGTAAACACGAATGTTTGGTTATGAAATATCTAATGAGAATTTATATAGACATTAATCAATAATACTACACATCTGAAGACATGACGAGTGCTTGAAACCGTTTCATGCATCGAATTTAGTGTACTACACAGCATAGAACGTGGCTTTCCACCTCCACCGCCACATCCTCGCAAAACCAATCAACACACCACCACCGATCATGCAAGCACCCGCTACCTTGATCACAACCTTCTCTCCGTTCTTGTTTCCCTCAAGCAACGCTGCCGCTCCGACAATACCACCAAAGGCACCCAGCCCAGCCAGCGCCATAATGATAGCCACACGCGCAGGCATATCATCCTCCCACCTCCCCTCCACTTTCTTGCTGAGAAACATCGCCGCAACAATCATATGGAGTGACAGTATCGCACCAAGCGCGACACCATATACCCCAGCGAGTAGAACAACGACGTAGAGCCGCGGATACAGCACCGGCGCAAGGCAAATCGCACCAGCGAGTACCGAAGCAGCAACAAAAACGTTGACAGCTCCAACCTTTTTCAAACTCCTCAAGTTTGCCACCACCGATCCCGAAACAGCCGCAACACCCAACATACCGAGTATCCCACACGCCGCCGCATCGGGAAAGAAAAGCCCAGGCACCTGCGTCAGCAAAACGACGTTGAAGACCGGATATATCAACACGCCGGCAAAAACAAGGATATAGCCCAGTATGAACCACATCCCACCACCTCTTGCGTCTTCAAAAAACCGCTTCGGCATACAAAGATGGAGTTTATACTTCTGCGTCCAAAGTTCCTCATCCTCAGACTTCAGTCCTACTAGGAGGAGGAATGCAGAAAGTAGCGTAGCGCTCATGACGCCTCCACTGTACACATACGCCAACCCGCCGTCAAGACCAACATCTTGGAAAGCAAAGCGTGCGATGACCGTATACACGACTGCGCCAGCAAACGCAGCAAAACCCGACTGTACAGAAACCAACGGTACATCGTTCCGGTAATGACTTGCAAGAACCAACGTACTGATTGTAAAACACGTCCCTAGTGCTCCTCCTAGAACTAGTCCACGTACGAGTAGAATAGCAGTGTAGTTCTTTTGAACCGTATAGCTGAGAAACTCAGAGGTAGTCGCTACAATGACGGCTACGCCGAAGAGCATTTTCCAAACCCAGCTCGACCACCGAGATCCGTGTTTCCGGTTTGCTAACGCGTTGTAGACATGGCCGACAGGCAACGGTGAGGCGAGCAATATAAAGATTTGCAGGCCGATGACCACAGCGAGGGAAGTAAGAGACTTGGTGGGAAATACGCTGGTGAAATCGTGTTCTAGCCTTGGAGCTGATGAGAGAGGGATGCCGAGGACGTTGAAGAGAACAAGCGCTTGGGCGTAAATTCTGTGATTGGTAGGTTAGCCCGTATTGCACTGCAATACCAAGAGAGGGGATGAGTACGATCGGTTTCGGTGTCTATGAGCTCGCTCGGGCGACGAGGATACAACATGAAGTGGGTTGCCGGCGACGCTGCCTTGGTTCCATCTGTTCCTTGCGGTGGGCTCGCCCAAGTTGCCTTGTCGAACGGCGGATATGTTGGGTGGTTCGGGAGTTGATCGGCGTGGCATTCCGAGGGGGTGTCAAAGATGGACGTGGAGCTATCAATGTTGTATGGTGAGTGATGTGGTTGGTGTTTCAATTCGAGGATGCTCTGGTAACAAAGGACAGAGAGGGAGAGAACGAGAAGATGTGTGATCAATGTGTAAACGAAATGGAGTACAAGCTATAATTAGTTGATATAGAGAAAGCGTTGTCGTGGTGGCCTATCAAACGCATCAATTATACGTCAATGCCCTCAGTAATGTCGATTCGTAAATGTACCATGACAAGAAAAACCTCAGTACATCGTTTTGACAAGCGAAGAAATGTCATTCAGTCTCCCTATACCGCCATTAGTTTTGCCAGCTACCTTGACCAAAGAAAATTTCCAACAGCGATGCACACATGGCGATAGCAAAAACCCATGAAGCAGCCCAGAACGCCAAAAGCAAAGTCAGCTTTTCCCATGCACAAAGTCGACTTAGAAGATGGAGTTGACAATGTTGCCACCAATCGTCGCACCAGCACCGAAGATGGCAGCATTACCCAGCTTCTTTCCAAACTTCTTGCCGTTGGCTTCCATCTTGCTCGGCTCGGCAGGCGGCCCCGCTTGCGCGCTGCTCGCAACATCGAGGGGCATGTTACCGTAATTGCTAGGAGCAGGCGCCGAGGGTGTGTAGGCAGGCATGACGCTCTTCTCTTCCTTGCGGACGTAGCTAGCGGGGAAAATGCCCTCCATGCCGGTGCGCTCGTTGCGTCCCTTCCACCACTCGTTGTTCATGTACTCGGTGACCTGGATCTTGTCGTTGGGCATGAGGGCCAGGTCGCCGGCGTCTTGGGCGTTGTACTGGTACATTGCTGAGGCATAGGCGAGGACAGGGGGGCCGGCGGGGGTAGCGGGGACAGAAGGGTAGGCAGGTGGCGGGGCGTTGGCAGTGTTGTCGGCATAGTATCCAATGTTTGTGTTCTTCTTCTCCGGGGGAGGCGTGGGCTCGCTCTTGATGGCTAGCGACGAGAGTTGTGCGGTTGGCACGGCGGGGAGCGCGCGCGAGCTGTTTTCGGCGCTGACGGGCAGTTGCGAGGCGATGGGGTCGTGCTGGGCCGAGGTGATGACATTGGATTCGACGAGGAATTCGAGGTTCTGCGCATATCGTCAGCTTGAGGTGGCAGTCAGGAGTTGGGGTAGCTTACGTTCTTGATGTCGCGAAGCGATCGGTTGATCATCGCATTTCTGAAGCTGTCCGCCATGATGGGTGTGGGTTGAGAATCTAGATTACTTGGGACGCGCAAAAGCCAATCGTGAGTAGGCGATCAACTGGATTGTACAGGGAGGAATGGGTCAGAGAATGCAGCGACGGGAGTTGTGAGTTGGGTCGACTTGATACGAGTAGGAGCAGACTAGCGGCGCACCACCTCGGAACATGTGCGCCGCAATGGGGCTGTGCTCATGTTGGCTGCGCAACCCGTGCAGCCTGCCGACTTTACTTCTTCACCGAAACCGCCATTGAACCTAGCCTGACATTGATCGTTGAGACATGTTGCTTTTCCCATGGCTTCTCACTAAACATCGCCTCTAGACTGCCATTCTTTCCACGCGCGTCCGTCCGTCAGGGTCTAAACGTGGCTTGACTACTCAGGTACCAGAATGGCCCCACTCATCCGCCGTCTATTTTTACATGTTTACTATCTGCACTCAATGCTTACAACTGCGACAAGAAGACCTGCTTGTACATCTCCTGCCTCTTGTTTTCAAACGCATCAAAAGCCTTTCCAACAAATCCCACCGGAATCTGATCCTTGCCCTCCACCAATCCCTTCCAAGCCTCATCCGTAAACTCAGTCAGCGGCATGCCAATGTTGCCCCCATCTTTAATATCCGGCTGGTGTTTCGCATCGTGCAACTCCGTCTGCACAGCTGGCGGGAAGATCTCAATGACCTTGATGTTTCCGGGTCCGTTTGCTAGTTGATGGCGGAGAACAAGGATCATGTGATGCAGCGCCGCTTTCGAAGCGCAGTAGTTCGGACAACGCGGAAGTGGCATGAGCGCAAGTCCAGACGTCGTGTAAATGAGCGAAGTTTCCTTGTCCTGCTTCTGGAGGAACGGGATGAATGCCGTGGTAAGATGCATGTACGACAGATAATTCGTCCTAAACTCCATCTCCAGCATATCTAGATCCACCGTCTCGGGCTTGGAAAAGTCGAAACCGCGCTGGATGCCCGAGTTGAGGAAGACGGAATCGAGGTCCGGGTGCTTGCTCGTTACATCTTTGACAAACTTTGGGATCTCGTCGAGCTTTGTAATGTCAAAGACAATGCTCGAGACTTTGTCGCTGCCGTGCTTCTTCTGGAATTCGTCGAGCTTTTCTTGTCGCCGTCCAACGATGATGGCGTGTTTGCCATCTCCTACAATCTTCTCCGCGAGTGCCCAGCCAATGCCGGATGTCGCGCCTAGCACGAGAACCTTGTTGTAGTTAAGAGACATGCTGTAAGTTTGAATTGAATTGTGTATTGATATGCAAGTATACGAGGCACGTCTGGGAATCGAGCGGTTTTGTAGTGGCGTCGAAGTTATCATGAACACATCATTAACGCCGCTGCCACGCAATCTCTACCCTGTTTGATATGCACTATGAACCCCACCATAGCTGCATCTCGGTGGTAACGGACTTTACAAAACAAAAGTAAGTGATGCCATGGTGCGCGTGGGAGATCTAGAACCGATACGTCATGGTGAAGATGTGGATCGGGCTCTCGGCAGTTGCAATGTACCCAGGTACCTCGCCTTCGGCCATCGCATCCTCCGACTCAACACCACCAAGACTCAAAACTTCACAGACAAGAATCATATGATGAATAACGAGTGTATTGCGCTGCTACTTTTTATCAAAGCGGGGTATCAAATTATATTATTAACTAAAGCCATCACATCCGCCGCGCGCAAACATTATGCGCACAGCAACTTCCGCATGAAAGCATTGCCCTTCTCCTCGTCCTCGTCCTTGCTCGACTGACTGTTGGCGCGCGAAACGTTGACAAACTTGGGCCATGTATTTGTGAGAACAAGATACTTGATCTCGCTCTCTGCGGCATCGAATACCAACTCGTTGAACGAGTCCGGAACGTCAACATCTATGATTGACTCGTCCCCATAGAGCTCGCCCAATCGGGATACAGCCTTCAGGTTCGCACGTCCAAGTCTATCGAGACTGACAGCGTTCGCCGAGATGTGGGCGTTGCTCTTATCGTTGATGGGCGAGTCCGATGCATCATCGGGCATGACATTGTCAAAAGGTGTTGCGTCACTCGACGAAGAAGAGTCGGAACTTAGACGACGGCCAAAGAGAAGCTTTGCTGTCCTCTCGAAAACGATGTGAAGGCGCTTCATCTCCTTTGATGAGATGTTGATAGGAAATTCGGAAAACTCGAGGGAAATGAAGTGAGCGTAGATGCGCGTGGCAGCAAGGAACTGCTTGCGGCGGTGGTCGGCAGTGGATGACTTGGGTGAGAACCAGTAGAGACGCCAGTCTGAGACGTGGGTTAGGAAACTGACATTCTCGCCTATTGGTCTAAAGTTAGCATATTTATCTGCACAACGGTATGCGAAAGACTTACCAGAAAAGTCCTTCAAGGCAGCAAATTGGAGCAGTGGCATGGCATTGGACCTGAGTGCGTTCTCCAGGGCAGTCATGGTCAGAATGTCAGACTTCTGCGAGTCGAATGAGCGATCGCCGACGCTGACCCCGCCACCAGACTTGAGTGTCGTCGTACTGGAGAACTCGCTAGGGCTCTTGGAGGGTGCATCGGTAGACGCGACTTCCAAGTTTGCAGTCGCCTGACGAGCTTCCCAGTTGGCAATAGCATCAAGAGTCTCTTGACGCAATCTGTTGCTCCTGAGCACATCGACGATTGGGAACGCAATGGTGCAGATCTCCATGATGCAGAAGCAGACAGCGAACCACACTGGTGGCGGAAAGACGGCGTTCATGGGAGCAAACGAAGGAGTGTAAAGGCCTATGAGCCAAAGCGGAGATGCTGGAAGTCTACAAGAGTCAGCGATGAAGGCAGACCCACGGCAATCGTAACCTACCCAGCAATGCAACAGATGATGGTTTGGAGACGCCAGCCGTGAACATCGCGAATGCCGCGCGACTTGAAGAGGATCCACGGGGCGTAAATCCAAGACCAGAATAGCTGCCATACAATCGACAGCCACCACTCCCAGCCCTTGCTGCAGTTTGCGCGCACTTCCCCGCCAGTACCTTGTACGGTATAGTTAATGATACCGTAGCCGTGGTGGAACTTTTCTGAAGCGAAAAAGACGAAGAGAACGAGGGCGAGCTGATTCATGGGTTAACTACAGTCGCATGACCAGTGCAGAGTTTACTTACCTGAACAGCCATGCCAATTCCAATGAAGATCAGTGTTCGCTCAATATTGTCTGCCCGCTCTACCCCGTTCATGATCCTCTTCCATCGGCTGTTGACGACTTCTTGAGCCTTTTTCTCGTCGATAGGCTCGTGGTCTTTCAGAGAGCTCATACGGGCAAACTGCTTCTGACGACTGGCGAGG